CGGTAGGTAGCCCCTCCCCGGGTTTCCTCACAATTTTGGCGCCGTTGCCGGGGAGGGGAGCAGCACCCCCAAGGCCACGGCCTTCCCCAATCAACGGGGGTGCGAAAGTGAAACTAATTAGCTTTTAAAAAGTTGATTAGTTGATTTTTTTTTATTTTTCTTTAATTCTGTATTTTGTTTTTTCCCCTTATCTCCCGATCCGCGCGTTTTTGCGCGAGGTGCACTGGGAGCAAAGTTCGACCTCTCGTCGAGGCGAACGTTTTGAGACATTTTTTGAGAAATTCTAACGGCTAGAAAAAGAGATAGGGAATTTTTTGTATTTTCTAATTAAAAATCCCAAAAATCATGAGTTTAAATATTTAATTAGTTTTTTTTTTATATCTCCCGATCCGCGCGTTTTTGCGCGAGGCGCACTGGGAGCAAAGTTAGGCCTCTCGTCGAGGGGAACTTTTTGAGACATTTTTTGAAAAATTTTAATGGCTAGAACAGGAGATATGGAATTTTTTGTATTTTTCTAATTAAAATTCTGAAAATCATGAATTTTCTTTTATTTTAATTACGAAGAAAGGGAGCGAAATAAGGTGAACCCTGCCCGGACCAGAGTTGGACCTTGTATTTTTCTCGACATTTTGAGACCTTAGTCGGGGAAGACAGACTCCGTTTGGACGAGTGGTGACCGCCAACAGACAGGAAAAGAGGGAAAAATTAAGAAGAATTAGTGATTTTCTTTGTATTTTTATTAAAAATAAAAGCGGAAACAGAAGTCTGCGGCAAAAGTGATCCGAGGGAACCCGGCTTTTGACTGACTACAAACCGACGGAAAATTTTATGCCTCGAAAAGTTGGACGTGGTGGCGTGCGGTGGCGCGCAAATCCTAAAACCCTAATTGGGGGAAACCCTAATTAGGGTAAAACCCTAACCCTAAGTTAGGGAAGGGCGGTGCGTAGCCGGGCGGATACAAGTCTTTCTATCCGACCGGTGATGGGAAAATTTTGTATAAATCCAGTTGACCAAATTGAAATTAATCAATATTGAGAATTTTGTTTTATTAAATAATTTGAAGTTAAAATTTTATTTTAAGTAATAATTTGTCATTTAAAATCAATAAAAAAATCAAAATAATTATCTAAAATTCTACAAGAAAGGCGGGGGAAGCAAAGTGCTGCCGAAATTTCTCGACAATTTGCTGAATTTTATTGAATTAAATCTTAAATAATTAAAGAAAATACTTGAAAATTAGCTAAAGATTGAGATACTTTTTCAGTTCTTAATCTTTTTTGTTAAACATCTACGGTCGGTATTTTGGGGCCTTCGGCCAAACCCTATCCCGACGGGGGGGAGAGGCAAAGTGCTGTCGAAATTTCAAAAAAAAATCTCCTAATTTAAATTATTAATTTTTTTTTTATATATATATTGAGAGCGATTAGGGAAATTAATTATAAATACGTTAGAAATTTGTTTCCTTAAGCGACTTTCCTCTTGTTTCATTTGGCTCTAGTTCTGGGTAGGTAGCATTTGTCTAGGGACAATAGTCCCGAACCGCATCCCAACGGGGGGAGGCGAAACGCTGCCGAAATTTTATTCTACCCCTAAAAAAGCGTCAAACTCGGCGGGCTTATATAAGTATTAATCCTTAATATATATAAACTAAGAAAGAAAATTTGTCTTAGGTAAATACATTTTTTATAATTTATAATTGAAAAATACAAAAGCATTCCCTAGAAGGAGAAGGGAAGGGACGTTGCGGTAACCTGGTTTTAGGTGATCCTACTAGCATGTTCTCGAAGGCGTGAGGCAAGCGACGCGAATTTTCAGTTATTAATCTAGACCTTCCGCTTGCTGCGTTCTCTTTAGCCGCCAGTTGAATGTGGCCCCGGGTGCAAGTAGAGGTCTATGGGGCTACCATTGACTGGGACTTAGAGCCCCCTGAACTCATAGAGGGGAATCTGGTCGAGCTCACGATCCCCGGACGCAGCATTCGACACGCTGACGGCCAGTTTGCGTGGAGGTCCATAATCCTGTCCGAGGACGTGTGGCTTTGGACGTACAAAGAGCACCGGCCAAGGCAAGGAGTGGGCGTAGTGAGAGCCTACTTGTATTTGGGACCGGGTGCGGTCAAGGAGGCCGTGGTGGGCCTCGCAACGACAGGGACTAGTGACGCAGTTAGCAGGGCTCTACGCTACCTAGGGGAAGAGGTAGSTGCTTTCCGAGCGGAGGACGCGAGCGACCCGTTGACCCTATTTCATGGACGCCCTCCTCTTGATATCACGGGCGAGCTCGTGGTAGCACGGGATGGTTTTTTCCCGTACAGCGTTAGGAGCCTGCGGGCGATAGTTCCGACGTTCGTAGTAGAGAGTGTCTTTGGAGGTATTGGTGGAGTGGTCGAGACATACCTGGCCTATCAGGATCTCAAGATCCTGGCGAGAAGGCCTGCCGACCTAGACTACATCTATTATTCGCTTGCGACCGGTGGGCCTYRTTGGGGAGACRAGAGGGTTCAGCTTATARAGCTGATCCGCTCGATAGACGACGAGTGGCCCCAGCCTTCGTGCGTTTGGGATTGGCTAGACCGTGAGCTCCGAGTAGGCCCCGAGTACGTGACTTGCATCGGGCGGCTCTTCTCAGACGACTGGGGGAGCTGGTGGAGTGAGGACGCCGGGCGACCTCTGATATATGGCCATTAGTTGGCGGAATACTACCAGTCCATAGGACAGGCGCCATACCGCGTCGAGGACGAGTTTGACGATGAGGGTTGGGAGCGAGAGGACGACGAGGAGCTGTGGGAACCAGACTGGGTCGACCCAGAGAGTGAGGTTGACGAGGAGATTGACGTTAAAGACGCCCATTTTCCCTGGATAGGAGTAGCGGTCTGGGCATAGGAGGTAGAGGAGCGCACCAGGGCGACGGATGAGTGAGCCTGGCTACTGAACCCATTCGACCATACTGGACCTGAGTGCGAGAGTTGTCAGAAGGGTCAGCAACGTCGAGAGATGGGGTGTATCGGACGGAGTAGAGTAATGCTGACCGAGAGTAGGGGGAGAGATGAGGAGTGATTCAGTGGCCTGGTTAGCTTATGTTCTCTCACGAGAGTCCGAATCGTATAGTGGGAGGAAGCTTGTGGGACCCAGAGAGACGGCGGTTGGATACATAGCACTTCGTGTGGCGTTAGAAGAAGCAGGGCGAGTACCGATACGATACTTGGGAACGTGGCTCGCAGAGGGGCTCTTCCTATGGACAGTGATACTACGAGACGAACGACCCGAGAGGACTCATGATCTAGAAGGGGTCGGACATCTAATAGCGGATAGAACACACGATTTAGAGATAGGGTTAACGCTCGCAGGGGCGAGCAGGAGTTGATGGAGAAGCGAGTTGTTAGGCAGAGTGATCGTTAATCAGCAATTGGCGAGACTCGCAGGAGGAAGGACGAGTAGGAGCTGCTTGGTATACGGTCCACCACATCCGACCCTCTACCCGAGAGAGGATTGGCGGTTCGGAGTTCCTACCTTCGTGATAGGGCAGACCTATGGGAGCGTGGATCGTTTGAGGAGAGCAGTGGATCACACACTTTACGCGCTCTGGGAGGGCTTAGCGCCCCGCTTCAAGGAATTATACTACGCCATTTGTGTGAGGTGGGGGCCGCCCAGTAGAGAGACCCTTGACGACATCATAGATGTTACGAGCTGGGTGGACTGTCTGAGGCCTATCGATCTGATTAGGTACTGCAGGAGGCGGCGAGAGATCGATTACGTGGGACTAGAGGATGCGAGATTTCTCTTCGAGGTCGCAGCTTAGGGAATGCCGGGAAGGACGGCCACAGTGATGCGTGTAGAAGAGCAACTGGTGAGCACAGGATACACTGTGACAGTACTTCTCCGAGCGTACGTAGACGAGGACTTGACCGCAAGTGAGTGCAGACAACGAGCTAGGGATTTGATCCACGAGCGTAGAGCTGATGTACTGGCGCGAGTGACCTTCCAGACCTCGATTTCCTATGATGTGATGATATGGTCTC